GTGCAGAGCTGATATTTCTGCGATTATTGTGTTCGAGGAGCCTGTTCCTCTAAACATGGGCTCTGGGTGCTGTCAGTGCTTCACCTCAGAGTCACCTGGGTTGTAACAAAAAAGTTCCAGAGTGGGACAGGTATTGCATTTAAACAAGTTTTCCGGAAAGGATGCACAGTCGGCTTGGGATGGGAAACTTAGGGCTGGACATGGCCTCCAGGCCTGCCCTGGGAAGACATGATGCTGATGCCCAAGGATTCGGTGAGGATATCCTCATGCTGATCGCAGTTGTGGAGACCTGTTAGAGGCCCCGCTGTGTTTCCGACCAGAGCATTTCCTGTGTATGACTCAAGAAACCCGGTGTCACCTCAGAGGCGGGGGCCAGGAGTCCTATCACTGTCTCACCAGTCGTGTCAATGAGGGGAGGTGTTTCCCAAAATCAAAGTTAGTACCAAGGAAGTCCTCTTGTGACCTCTCTCTGTCTCCTGACTTTTCATCAAGGTGGTGAAAGGAAGTGTTGCACATGTAGCAATCGAAGTTCAGGGCAGTTTTAACACACTCCCAGCATGTGAAAACCTTTTGGTTGCTTTATATTGTTTTTTAGTATTTACATATACTGTTTCAAGAGTAGTTGTGAGTTTTCACAAACGCATAATTATACCACCATCAAGACCAATAACACTCCATCAACCCAAAGGAACACTATTGTGGTGCCTCTTTATACTGAACCCACCTTTAAACATCAATCTGTTTGAGGTTCCTATACCTTTACCTTTTCCAGGTCACAGAAGTGGATTACCATGTTGACTTTTAAGTCCTATTTAGAAAGTCTGATAGCACATCTGTAAAGGTACATAATTATATAAGCATAGCATTGTTCTTTTGAGTTTAAAAATTTTGACATTGCACAGTAGAGAAGTACATATTATGACTAAAATTGAGAGATTCCACTATGAGTTATATAAGTTTGAGTAAAATTTGTGCCTTTTTTTTTTTTAAAGATTTTATTTACTTATTTTTAGGGAGAGGGGAAGGGAAGGAGAAAGAGGAGGAGAGAAACATCAGTGTGTGGTTGCTTCTTACACACCCCCTACTGGGGACCTGGCCCACAACCCAGGCATGTGCCCTGACTGGGAATTGAGCTGGCAGCCCTTTGGTTTGCAGGCCGGCACTCAATCCACTGAGCCACACCAGCCAGGGCTGTGCATAATTTTCATCATTTGCATGATGAGAGGAATGATGGGGGCACATGAGAGATACCAATTATTATAAAATCACATAATCTGTATACTGCTTAGAAAATATAAATTAGTACTAAAAAAGAAAAGGGACCACATCTGGATTTCCTTTGCTGAAATAAAAGTCATCACCTTTTACCCCATGTTTCATAAAATCTCCTGGAAGTGTGAACACAGGGAAATGATCCCTGAAAACAGCAATAGTGAGCATGGAAGGCTTTGTGCCTCCCTTGAAACAAAAACTTCCAGCTACTCATGTGATAAAAAGGCACAGAAAATCCCCCAGTTTGAAGATATCAAATGTACCTCGTTTGCTGATACTCTCTGTCCGCATCAGGTCACCGCAATTTTTCCCTAGGTCACTGTCCTCTAAACATCGATAGCTTTCTGGTGTTTTCGCCGGGAAAGCACATTGGACTTCCACAGGCGTCGCTCTACCGTAGAAAACCCGCGACGGGCTGCAACGGTGCAGCAGCCGGACTCTTTCTTCCCCTGGGAGGGACTCAAAGGTTTCATAAGGTACACAAGGTGCGTCACTCAGTTTAGCAGCAAATCAATGTGCCATTTCAAATGATTTCAGTTGGTGTTAAATAGAAACAAAAATAACAAATACCGTGGCCTGAAGCAGCGAGAAGTCCCTCAGGCCACACACCCATGGCCATCTCATAATCAAGTGGCACATGCCCTGAACCTTAGAACCATGTCTCCACCTTTAGGGAAAACAACTGCTGTTAATCCCAGGGATGCAGAACCTTCGGTATCGTCGTCCACTGTTAAAATCCACACTCGAGCAGATCCTCAAGTCTTTAAGCTGTATCTGATGGGGACAAATAGGGTCTATGATGACCATTCACTGGGGCCTCTCCCCTCCATATTGAAGATACACGATCCACGCCCCCCCCCCCCCGTTCCCTATTATCTCACCTGTCGTTTCCTTACTTTCAACACCTTTGTTTTCTTAGAAACCAAAGCTTTCTCATTTAACCATCTATCTTTTTGCACAAAAACATAGCACCAGGAGTGCAAGAATTTTTTTTATTGTTATTTGAATAGGTTTCCAAGAAAAATTAACAAAAGTTCCCTTTTTCTAGCTAATATGATTTGTGCTTCTTACAATTTAGGTTTGGCATGATGTCATCCTCATTTTTTCTGCCTTCTAAGTAAAAATGATTCTCATTATCCAAGACAGAACTAAGTTCATTTCCTCACAGAATCCAATGCAAATGTGTTGCTTCCTTGAATAGCAATCAAATTCTGTATCACAAGCTCAAGAAATTCTTTTAAGTGCTGTTACTGTTACACCCATAATCATTTGTTTCATGGTCATTCTTATTATTAGCATTCCTTTCATTTTATGTTTCTTTTACTAGAGATACGATTTTATTAGTCTTTGGCTGGAGAGGACCAAAACCAAAGACTGGCGTTTTTAATATTATGAATGAATATGAAAGTAGTCTCATGCCGAAAGTTTTAAGTGTAAAAATAATAAAATTTGCCTGAGGAAAACATACCTTTGTACACACATGATAACTGACTTAGAATGTAAAATGCTTAAATGGAAAAAATTGTAAGTTGATCCTAAAATACAGTATTACAGTGGAATATTTAAATATGTCCTCAGGAAATAAAAAATAATAATAGCTCTTAGCATAAAAGTGCTTAGAAAAGTTAATCTTTAAAAAGTACAGAAACATTTATTAGAGGAAAATGCACATAATTTTAATTACAGCTAAAGACAATTGAAATCAGTGAGAGGTTATGCTGAACTACAGGTAATCAGAAACATCCAGAATCTGCCAGAAATGAAGGACTGATTCTCACCTGGAAGGACTGGCTCAGAGAAGTCACTGCACACAGTGTGGTAGAAGAACAAACTGTTTTGTAGCCCTTTGGCACTGCGCCACTGTAGACGTCACAGTGGAATCAGGATCACACAGTCAGTAGTGGTATTAATGGAACAAGATGATCACTTGTCAAAGTAGACCTGATACCAATACAATCTAAAAAAGAGAGGCGCTCCCTTCAGGAAACAGTCTCAGCCATGACAGTCAACGTTTGTTGCCTGGTGGGCTCAAATGGGCTTGCACGAAAGCCCAACCTATGCTGGATCTTTAATGTTGAATTGAGAACAGCTGTAAAGCTTACACCTGAGGTCAATGGAAGTCCGGCATGGGTGGTGGTTTAGAGGATATTCTTGTCTGGCAGGGAAGAGACTGAGGAAAACCAACTAAAAGCAAATGTACACAAAAGCTCTATGCTTGCCTGTCTCCTTTATGCAAGTGCCTTCAAAACCAGTCTACTCCTATTTCACTTCTGAATTAAAGTTTCATGTAGGTTAGGCCTTGCCGATTTCTAACATGCAACCATAAAGGCAACAGGTCACAGAAAATGTCGTTCACTCATTTCACTCTTACATATCATGACATTATAATATCATTTGGTTATATAACATGACAAACTCATGACAAACTCTGTTATATGACATAAGTAATGTCATGTTAGAGTCAGGAATTGTCATCTCCAAGTCTAGATTTTATTGTCCTATCACAGGTATTGTCTTCTTAATGCAGACTTCATAGACAAGTCCCAGCCCAAAGCAAAGGCAGAAAGCAGTTGATGAATATAGTTCACAGGGTACTCTGTAATGAACTTTGCACACTTAAAAATATGTGGCCCGTGTTTATTGAATAAAATAATACTGAATGTCAAATGTAATTGAAAAATTAAAAAACATTTATTAACAAGAAAATGGAATAAAGCTCTTCAGGCCAAAGAAAAGGCACTTTATGTTAAGATACAATATATATATGGATAAGGCATATGCATTCAATACTTGCTACAGGAAGCCAGAGGGAAAGAATGAACAAACACCAAAATATCATTTTTTTAAACATTCCTTAATTTACAGAACAATTACAAAATTACATAAAAGTTAAACCTACTTGCATATTAGTAAAACAGTTCACCCATGGATCTAACAAACTTCAATATAGAAATACAAAATGTTTATTAACTGACTGAAAGGGATAAAATACCTACTAAACTTAGAAACTCTTGCTTACAGAGTACTTACAGAATTATATTACCTCAATGTACATTTGGAAAAGAAAGTAGAACTCTGTGCTACAGAGAATCACTGTAAGAATGAGTCAGTGATAATGACCGTACATGTCTAACATTTATAGTATTTCTTTCATGCTGTGAATTTTGGGGAGTATATGAATTTGCACCAAGCTTACATGTAGTAGTTATAGTAATGATTTCCTTCCAGTGCAGTTTTCATGCTACTCTGGAAGTTATGAAAACTTTGTCTTCATTTTCAGTTACACAGTATCTATCCAGTGTACATTCTCACATGGTATTGCGGGGATGTGAGGCAAAATGAAGGTTTTTCTACATTGTTTACATTCAACAGAATTCTCTCTAGAGGGTTTTTTCGATGGCTTTCCAAGGAACTGGGACAGCTGAAGGCTTTTCTACATTCTTTGCATGTGTACAGTGGCTCTCCCATGTGCATTCTTACATGTCTACAAAAGGCTCTCCCCCGTTCCTCATATGCGTAGACTTTCTCTTAGGTATGAGTTCTTCCATGATTTTCTAAAGAACTGGGATGATGGAAGGCTTTCCTAACAACCTTTACATTGACAGGGCTTCTCTTCAGTGTGAGTTCTTTCATTTGTTATACTGAACTGGAGGAAATAAGTGCTTTCTAACAATCCTTACATTTATAGGGTCCATTTCCAATCTGCATTATCATATGTGACTGCAGAGCTGAGGGATAAATGAGGTTCTCCCACATTCTTTACATTAACAGGGTTTATCTCTACAATGTGTTTTCACATGTTTACGGTAACTACTTGGGTAACCAAAGGCTTTACCACATTTTAAACATTCGTAAGGCTTTTCTCCACTGTGTATTCTTTCATGTATTTGACAGTACCTGGGACAACTGAAAGCTTTTCCACATTGCTTACATTGGTATGGTTTCTTCCCACTATGAGTTTTTTCATGAATTTGAAAGTAACTGGGACGACTAAAGGCTTTCCCACACTGCTTACATTCATAGGGTTTCTCCCCAGTATGAGTTTTTTCATGATTTCTAAGAAAAGTGGGATAACGGAAAGCTTTACCACATTCCTTACATTCATGAGGTTTCTTCCCATCATGAGTTCTTTTATGTTTTCTAAGATATCTGAGTAAACTGAAGGCTTTACCACATTCCTTACAATCATAGGGCTTTTCTCTCCTGTGAGTCATTTCATGACTTCGAAATTTTCTTGGACACATGAAATCTCTCCCACACTCTTTACATTTAAAAGGTCCATCACTATTGTGCTTGATCATGTGTCTTTGAAATATGGTGAGAGAGCTCCAGGCTTTCCCACATGTATGACACTCATAGGGTTTCTCTCGAGTATGAGTTCCTGCGTGTCTACATAAGTTACTTGAATACCTGTAGGCTTTACCACATTTTGTACATGCATAGGGCTTTTCAGCATGGTGTTTCTTTTCATGCACTCGAATATATCGGCGCTGCCTGAAAGCTTTCCCACATTCCTTACATTTATAAGGCTTCTCTTCATATTCCTGACACTGGTATAGTTTGGGTCCAGTGAGAGATCTCAGGTGGTTATTAAAGGATACATGATGCATGAAGACTTGTCTGCACAACCTGGATTTAGGTAGTTTTATTCCAGTAGCAGCTTGCTTCTTTTCATTATGGTTTGCAATCTGGCTGAAGGATTCTTTACATTGACTACTTTTTTTTCTTTTACAGAGTCTCTCTACCATATGACTGCTGTAAAAATCAAAAAGCATATTATTAATATTTTATTAATGATTTTACATTTATAGTATGACAATGACATTTTTACCATTTTCAAGGAAAGTGTAGGGTTTCTGCACATACTTACAGTTAGAAGTAGATATACTAATAGCTCTGAAATAGGGCTTGATCATAGAAATTATGAAAACAGTAGTATTTTCTAATGGTGAATCTGTATACTGTTTCTAAGTATACTTACTTATTTTTTATATACTGAACATCCAGGTCACATCTGAGAAAAATATTTTGATGAAAGTATTCTAAGAATCAATGCATTTGAAAGTGGGCGGATATGATTCCTTTGCCTGTTTTTAAAATTTGATAACATATTAAGAATTCTCTCGTGGGACACTGCTTTCTCACGTCAGTGTGACTCACCTAAAATTTGTCCCATGTTTTTCATACTGATCTTCACTGTCATGGTCTTCCCATTTTTCTTCTAAAATACATGCTAGAAAAAAAATTATAAATTATTAAAGAATATGGAAAATAGTTAAATTTCAGGTCCACAATGAGCTGTGATCATGCCTAATTTAGTTATCTATGTATTTTCTTTCCACATTTCACTTCATGAAACAGCACTAATGAGCAATCAATGCTGGTTTTCTAATTGACTAAATAAGTAAGTAAGAAGTTGTCATCACTACCTATTGATGCCAGGTTCCTGAAGGTTTCCTGCATCACATCTTTGTAGAGTTTCTTCTGGGTCGGATTCAGGCAAGCCCACTCCTCCATGGTGAACTTCACATTAACATCCTCCAAGGCCACTAAGTCCTAGAACATTCCACATATGTATATACAGGAGGGTGGGTGAGACAGACAGCACTGGGGATCTGTACATAATATCATACAAAGTTCACATATAACACATATGACTTAGTTGCCAGACTGTTATTTATTAGCCATGCTCACTTCCTCATGAACACAAGGAATTTATCACTACATTTTTACTGTGATCACTTCAAGTCTTCACTGCTCTCTAATGTCAGGATAAGGAGCACTTTGAAGAAATTTTATACAAATAAAAAAAATACTTTGAGCCTTGGCCTGCGTGGCTCACTTGGTTGGGTGTTGTCCCGCAAACTGAAAGGTCACCAGTTCGATTCCTGGTCAGGGCACATGCCTGGGTTGCAGGTTCAGTCCTCAGTTGGGTTATGTACAGAAGGCAGCTAGTTGATGTTTCTCTCTCACATCAATCTATCTCTCCCTCTCCTTCTCCTTCCCTTCTCCTCTCTAAAATCAAAAATAAAATTAAAAAATACTTGGTTTTAGGCATATCAATTCCTTGTGAGAAAACTCTCATCTCCTTTAATACCAGCATATGATGCAGCACTACATGAAGCACGCTGTCATATCTGCATAAAGTTTTAATGAATATGAACAAAATAAAGACCTGGAAACTTTTTCTTTTATTCTTATAACCAAACATGAGAGGCCAGGAGGTCTATAGAAATTCAACTTGTAACAAAATGCAGCTGGTCATATTGTCCTGAAGCAATCTGGACCACTAGAAGTAGTCAGATCCACTTGGCCGAATGAAAATATTGTTGTGGAAGAGTATGAATTATAATTCGTTTATATAATATTTATTACTGACTCAGCTTGACCTTCTTTTGTCTGTCTCATTTCATGGAGCTAGGAAGTTATCAGTGTTAGAGCTCAGGCATGAGGAAGCAGGACAATTCAGACCTCTGCAAAGTTCCCATATTCATGAGCCTCAGGGCTACTTCATACCAGTTAGGTTTTTATTTTTGTTTTTTTTTAAATCAAACTATAAGTAAAAGTTTATTTATAAAGTCATAGAGGCAAAAGAAGTGAGCCATAGAAGAAATGGACTTAGGAAACAAGTTAGAGAAGCAAAAGAAGAGAGCCTTTGGAGCTTAGGAGAGAGGTAAGGACAACATGCCTGGGGTAAGGGGGTAGAGAAAGGTGCGGATGTACTTCATAGAGAGAGCTGCCACTTTATACCAATTTTTAGGACACATAAACAAATATACTGAAATGATAAGACCACACAAGAAAAGTCTTTCCATCAGAATTGTATCATTGTAACCTGGGTTTTTACTTTGAGGAACAGCTTAACACTTGGCATTTGCAAAGGCCTTCACTGAAATCCACAATATTTTCATGTTGAATTGGCACATGATCACAAAATACATAAGGTGCCAGGGTGGGGGTTGGGGGGAGCGGGTGTCACTGGAAATATAAGAGCAAACACCTTGTAAAGTATATGACTGTTTAACCTCTATGCTGTACACCTGAAACTAATACAAAATAATACTGAATGTAAACTGTAATTGGAATGTAAATTTTAAGTGAAAGCATATACTGTGTTCATGGATAGGAAGAATAAATATTATTAAAATGTCCATACTACCCAAAGCAATCTACTGATTTAATGCAATTCCTATCAATATACCAATGGCATATCTCATGGAACTAGAACAAATATTCCAAAAATTTATATGGAACCACAAAAGACCCCAAATAGCCATAGCAAACTTGAGAAAGAACAAAGTTGGACTAATCATACTACCTAATATCAAACTATACTACAAGGCCATAGTAATCAAAACAGTATGGTAATGGCATAAAAGCAGACACACAGATCAATGGAAGAGAATAGAGAGCCCAGAAATAAACCCACGTTTTTATGGTCAATTAATATTTGACAAAGGAGGCAAGACCATACAATGGGGTAAAGAGAGTCTATTCAATAAGTGGTATTGGACAGATATATGCACAAAAATAAAACTATACCACCTTCTTAAACTCAAAATGGATAAAAAATTCAAGTGTAAGGCTCAAAACCATAAAAATCCTAGAGGAAAACAGTAAAATTTTGCATATTTCTCATAGCAACATTTTTTTCTGATATATCTCATTGGGCAAGGGAAACGAAAAAATAAACAAATGAGACTACATCAAACTAAGAAGTTTTTGCACAGCAAAGGAAACCATCAACAGTATGAAAAGACAACTCACCAAATGAGAGAACATATCCACCCATGATATGTCTGATAAGGGGTTAATACCTCAAATTTTTAAAGAATTTCTGCAACTCAACACCAAAAAGCCCAAACACACACTCCAATTAAAAAATGGGCAAAATGCCCTGACTGGTGTGACTCAGGGGGTTGGGTGTTGTCCCGAAAACTGAAAGGTCACAGGTTTGGTTCCCAGTCAGGGCACATGCCTGGGTTGCGGGCCAGGTTCCTGGCTGAGGGAATGCAAGAGGCAACTGATTGATGTTTCTTTCACATATCAATGTTCTTTCACTTTCTCCCTGCTTTCCCCTCTCTCAAAAAATAAATAAAATCTTTTAAAAAAATGGGCAAAGGACCTAAATAGGCACTTCTCGAAAGAGGACAGATGGCTAATAGATATATGAAAAAATGCCAAATGTCACTAATCATCAGAGAAATGCAATTGAAAACCACAATGAGATATCATCTCACACATCAATAAATCAACAAACAACAAGTGTTGGCGAAGATGTGGAGAAAAGGGAACCCTTGTGCACTGTTGGTGGAAATACAGACCAGTGCAGCCACTATGGAAAGCAGTATGGAGTTTCCTCAAAAAATAAAAATGAAACAGCCTTATGATCCAGCAATTTCACTTCTGGGAATATGTGAAATGAAATGTGAAACATTAATTTGAAAAAATATATGCTCCCCTATGTTCCTTGTAGCATTATTTACGTAGCCAGCATTTAGAAGCAGCCCAAGTGACCGTGAGTAAATGAGTGGATAAAAAGCTGTGGTACATTTACACGGTGTAATCCTACTTGGCTGTAAAAAGGAAGGAAATCTTACCTTTTCAACAGCATGGATGGACCTGGAGATTATTGTGCTAAGTGAAATAAGCCAGTTAGAAAAAGATATGAGAAAGGAATACCATGATTTCACTTATATGTGGAATTTAATGAATAAAATAAAATAGACTCAAAGATAGGGAAAACAGAGTGGCAGCTGTCATATGTCAGTTGGGACAGGGTTTGGGGGCTGGGTGAAAAAAGAGGAAGGAATTTAGACAAAAAAACCCCAAAAACCAAAAAACTCATCGACAGAGACAACAGTATGGTGATTACCAGAGGGAAAGGAGGGGACAGCAGAAGAAGGTAATGTGGGGGTGGGATAAATGATGATGGAAGGAAGCTTGACTTTGGGTGGTAAACAAACAATATACAAATGATATATTATAGAATCATACACTTGGAAGCTATATAATTTTATTAACCAATGTCATCCCAATAAATTGAATAAGATTTTTTTTAAAAACAAAAACATGTTATCCTCACCTGAGGACATGCTTATTGATTCTATCTATCTATCTATCTATTCTTAATCCTCATCCAAGGATATTTTTTCAGTTTTTAGTGAGAGAGGACGGGAAGGAGAGAAACATTGATTGGTTGCCCAAAACACACTAATCTAAAAATGTTTAATGTGCCTGAAAACTTGAATACATTCATCTCACACCTTGAGTTTCTCTTGCCTAAAAAGAAATAACTCTTTGCTTTCACAATGTTCTTGCTTTTTTTCACCTTGGATCTCTCAATTAACTGACATTTTTAGAACTCAAGTGCTCAGGGAAACTAGAGCCTAAGGGCCGTACTATTCAGTGGATAAAGGATCCGAAGGAAAGAAACACAGTATTGCAATCAGCTCAGATGGGCAGCTTGCTTCCCACAGGACAGAAGGAAAGCCCCTTTTAGAGGTTCCACATTTTGGATTATCCAGGTTGAGACAGGACCCCTGCAGTGGGACAGTCCCTGGGGACAAAGGGGTAGGGGCACCTGAGCAGCCCCAGGAGTGAACTCTGGCAGCTCCAACACCCTATCCCAGGGGAATAATGGACACGCTTCCTCTCTCAGGCTTCATCTCACAGCCAGGAAACGCCCAGCTGGACACAGTATCAGGTTCTGACCCAAATGGACTGCGAATTCACAGGCCCTAACCCAGGACACAGGCTCCTGACTTTCACAGGCTTTCTCCGCGTGCACGGATTACACTCTGAGCGCACCCACACTGTGGATGAGAAACTCCAACCTGTGTCTACAGACAGGTCCAGGGGGGCCACGACTAAAACCTCAGGAGGGGCATCACCTCTCACCTACCCCCATGTGCAGGTGCACCCCAGCTTCCCAGGGCTGTAGTTTCTTAGTGTACACGCTTCTTCCCTGGTGGGTGTGAGCAGGTAGGACACCTGCTGGGGGAGGCTTCCCAGGAAGAATGACTGGGCCTTCAAGCGCTTCCCTGTGCAGGCTGAGGGTGGAGGGTCTTCCTTAGCTTAAAGTAACTGGCCTCAGGCCTCTGCTCCCCACTGAAGTTGCTCTGGACCACCATTGATAATTACATGACACAAAGCCAGTGTTTGAACAATCAGCAATTATAAGGTACCTTGCTAGATCAACAAGAAAATCCTCAAGTACTACACTACCAAAATATATGTTAATTACTGTTTCCATGGCCAGATTTTGTTTTATAAGTTATTAATCATAGTTCCATACCTCTGATTTAAGCCCTGAAAATCCATTTGACTCACTCAAAATAACAGACCTTTTAATATTTCTACCCACACTGGGAGGGGAAAAGGGAAACAAGAATTTAATACATGCAATATAAAAATGAAATATTTTATTTATTTTTGTAAGTCACCTCTCTCCGGGATCTTTGGAAATATTTTGGGACTATTTTATACTGTGTTTCCAGGTGTAGTGATTAAATAAATTTTTATTCACTGAAAACCTGAGACTAAAACAAAATGAATAAACGTTCAAAGGTGACAAACTCCGGGACAGGCAGTGCTGACCTAGAACACCCAGGAAAGTTACAAAAGAGGAACTTCTACCCAAAGGACTTCCCATTGGATGTCTGTGCCCAGGAAAGATCCTGGAAAAAGAGGTACAAAGATTTTATGCAAAGTAGTTCCAGGTGGTTACTAGCTATGATTTTCTCATGTAAAATATCCACACACGCACAAACCTTTTAAAAAACAGCCATTCATTGACTGTGGGAAAATAATAAATGATTAAAATATTGAGTCTGTTTTATTTAAAAGGAGACAACAGGATGACAATGGATCACTTGTACTAAGTCACATCACCAAACCAAAATTTAATACAATCATGAGCCACGTAAAAACATAGTCAACAACACACCACATATAGGATGGTGGTCCCACAAGATTATAATGGATTTGAAACACTCCTATCACCTAGTGATGTCATATCATCATAACATCATAGGGCAACGCATTACTCAGATGTTTGTAGTGATGCTGGTGTAAAAAATGTTATTCTGCTGCCAGAGTTAGAAAAATATAGCATACACAGTTATGCACAGTACATGATGATAATAAGTAACCATGTTACCGGTTTATGTATTTCTATATTATACTAGGTGTGTCCAAACTTTTGGTGTGTCTTGGGCCACACATTAAATACACAAACACTAATGAAAACTGATGAGCACCAAAAAAAAAATGGTTTTAAGTAAATTTACAATTTTGTCTTTGGCCACATTCAAAGCCATCCTGGGCTGCATGTGTCCCATGGGCTGGACACTTTTTCTCTTTATTTTAAAGTGTACTCTTTCTACTCATTAAACAGGTTTTTTGGGGGGGGTTGTTTTTGTTTTTTTGGTAAAACAGTATGCTGTTTTATGCAGGCAGCAGCCTCACAGATCTTGTGTTCATTGCGTCCTTTTTTATTTTGATTTTTATTTTTTAAACTATATTTTATTGATTATGCTATTACAGTTATCCTGACTTTTCCCCCTTTACTCCCCTCCACCCAGCACCCCCTACTCCTTCAGGCAATCCCCCCACCACTGTTCATGTCCATGGGTCATGCATGTAAATTCTTTGGCTACTCCCTTTTGCTATACTGTACTTTACATCCTCATGGCTATTCTATAACTATCTATTTGTACTTCTTAACCCCCTCCCCTCTTCACCCATTCTTCCCTTCCCATTTGGCAACCTTCTGGTAACTAACTTCTTTTCTCTTAAGAGTCTCTCTTTATCTTTAACCTTTGGCCTTTTAATAATGATGTGTCTTGCAGTGAGCCTCTTCGCATCCATCATAATTGGGCCTCTGCACTTCCTGGACTTGCATGTCATTTCCTTCACCAGATTAGGGAAGTTTTCTTTCACTACTTTTTCAGATAGATTTCCAATTTCTTTCTCATCTTGAAGTTGTCTCAGAGGCTGTTTATACCATCCTCATTTTTTTGGATTTTTTTTCTTCTTGGTGTTGTGTGTGGTTGTTTTGGCTTCCTTATGTTCCAAATCATTGATTTGATCCTTGGCTTCATCCATTCTACTGTTGTTTCCTTGTAAATTGTTCTTTATTTCAATTAGTGTACCCTTCATTTCTGACTGGATCTTTTTTATGCTGTTAAGGTCCTCACTAAGTTCCTTGAGCATCCTTATAACCAATGTTTTGAACTCTGCATCTGATAGACAGCTTATCTCCATTTCATTTAGCTTTTTTTCTGGAGTTTTGATCTGTTCTTTCACTTCGGCCATGTTCCTTTGTATCATCATTTTGTCAGCCTCCCCCTGTTTCTGTGTATTAGGTAGAGCTGCTTTGACTCTGTGTCTTGGTAGTGTGGCCTAATGTAGTAGGTGTCCTGTAGGGTCCAGTGGCACAGCCTCCCCTCATCACCCAAGCTGTGTACTCAAGGTGTGCTTTTGTGTGGGCTGAGTACAACCTCCTCTTGTAGTTGAGCTTTGGTTGCTTTTGGCAGATCGATGGGAGAGGTTTACCTAGGCCAGTCAGCTGCAAGGACTGGTTGTGACCACTGACACCAACGTCTATCCCCCATGGAGGATCAGCTGTACAGGGGCAGGGTGGTGGTGCTCTGATGCAGTCTGTAGTTGTCCACTGGGTGCGCTGGTCCTGGGGTTTCCCAGGTAGTGCAGGCCAAGGTCAGCCCCAACCTGTGTTTTGCCTGGGGCTCAGCTACAAAGCAATCTGAGATGGCTGCTACTTGTGCTAGGATTGGAGATTCCCTGGTGCAGCCAAGCTGTGACTCTAATTTGGCTGCTGCTAGGGCTCACTAAAGCCAGCCTGTTGCTTGTTTGATAGGATATAGGAGCCAAGACCAGCCATTCTTATGGAAAAGAAACTTGACTGGGCCCGTAAGTTGGGTTGGGTAGAGCCTCTGTGGATCTCCAAGGTGGGTCACATAGTGTTACCCAAGGTTGATGGAGTCTGAGATATGGTACCTGCATACTAGCTCTGTGGCGGGGAAGGCTCAACGAAGTGACAGTGGCCTGTACTCGCCCCAACGCCAGACACTTAGGTCTCTCTTTGTATAGCACTGGTGCCGTTCAAGCTGCCACCCCAGTGCCGGAGCTCAGAGGGAGCAAGTCTGAGTAGGTGAATCCATGTGAGGGTTCCCAAAGAGGAACTGCTTAGGGTTCTAGCAGCCTCTTCCACTGACTCAATCCCCACTGGTTTTGACAACTGGAAGTTGTGAGGACCTATCTTCCTGGCACGGAATCCTGGGCTGGGGGGCCTGGTGTGGGTTTGGGACTCCTTGCTCTAAAGATATCCCTCTCGAATTTTTATCCACATGGGTGTGGGGCCAGCCTGTTTTATGTCTGCACTCTTCCTCCAGTCGGGATGAATGTGATTTCCTCAATTCTGTAGTTGTCAGACTTTTATTCATCTCTATCTGATAGTTGTCAGACTTCCATTCCACTTGATTTCTCACGTTCCTGAGTGAGGGTTGTTCCATATTTTAGTTGTAATTTGGATATGGTTGTGCAAAGAGGTAAGCCATGTCTGCCTCCATCGCCATCTTGACCAGAAGCCCACTGTGTCTTTTAATTGTATTATTTTCTCCTGTGCTTGATTTAATCTGTTGTTTTTATAAGTTTAGTGACCTCTGTGTACAGTGTTATAAAGTTTACAGTAGTGTACAGTAATGTCCCTGGCCCTCATACTCACCAGTTACTGACTCAGGCAGAGCAACCTCTAGTCCTGCAAGTTCCATTTATGGTAAGTACCCTATAAAGGTGTAACATTTTTTATCTTGCAGACTATATTTTTACTGTACCTTTCTATGTTGACTCACAAATACATACTCCATTGTACTAAAATTGCCTACAGTATTCAGTACAGTAACATGATGTATACAGGTTTGTACCATATAGCCTAGGGGTGTATTAGGCTACAACAAGTATTTTTTGTTTATTGATTTTAGAGAGACAGAAACACTGATTTGTTGTTCCACTTATTTATGCAATCATTGGTTGTTTCTTGCATGTGCCCAGACCAGGGACGGAACCTGCAACCTTGACGTATTAGGATGATACTCTAACCAACTGAACACTGGGACAGGGCTACACCATGCAAGTTTGTGTAACTGAACTCAAAACAACAAAATTGCCTAAGGTGTACTCCCCAGTTAAGGGGTGTATAACTATTTAATTGCAGTTTCAACCTCTCCCAGGAATAAAATTTTAAACCAATCAGCCTGGGATTTCCTGATCAACACTAATTGCCTAATAAGACTCTTGCTGTTCCTTCTCCTAAGGAAAGGTGACCTTGCCTCAAACAATCCTTTATTCTTTTCCTCATAATCTCTTAAATTGCATTTATGCCTATAAAAGCCTTCCATTCTGTACACTTCCTTGGACATTCTATTAGAGAGGATGCTGCCTGATTCATGAATGGGGAACAGATCCAATTAGATCTTCAAATATATTCAGTTGAATTTTTTTAATAGTTTGAAATGCACCACAAAAACAAGTAGTTATAATGATCCGGTAAATCAGAGAGGCAAGATGGCGTTTGGGAATTCAGGGGAGAGATTGGAAATGCAGGCATTTGTTGCACAGCTAGGCCTGGGGGACGGTGGTGGATTTGAGACCCTGCTCCACAAACATGAAAACTCAGGAGAAAAAGCGTTCTCTTTGGGAAGAAAGGAGGGACAGGGAACCCCACACGACCACAGCTCCTCCCATTCACAAACCCCAGACCGAGTCAAGACTGTCCCCAATAACCCTCCCCGTGGTCGCCGCGCCAACTGAGGAGACGCGGGAATGCGGGTGCAGTGCTGTCCAGAAACGCTTCTGGGGCCGAACACCCCCGCGAACAGGGACAGACCAGACGCCCGGAGTCACAGCTGATGCTCCAGCTCCCACACTGCGAGCCCGAGGGGACAGAAATTGGAGCCGAGTCGCTAAGGGCCTTGGATCTGCAGACTCCGGACAGGACCGTGGAGAGACCGTCCTGCCAGGGCGGTTCAGCCAGCCCCTCCTCGGTATCTACATTCGCGGCAACTCACCATTTCTACGTTTTCTGAGTCTCCCTGAGTCCTTCCTACAACTCCCACAACCAGCACAGATCACAGCTCGAAAGATGAGCAGAGAAACGTGGGGCTTTAAAGGCTAGAAAGATGCAATACGGGGAACGGCGGGAGCGAGCAGGACTTCCGGGTGGCTGCGGAGCGTAGCCCCACCCACCTGCCCCCACGGCTCCTGATCTGATGGACAGTTCCCAAGGCAACGCCCCCAGTGACTGAGTTTCAGCCGCCAGAGCCCAAAGCAGCCAGAACGCACCCTGGGCAGGGATATTTACACTGAAAACGTACTGTTGAAAGCCCACCAGGCAACTGTGAGCCTTCCGTGCAAATATAGACACTAAAAGGCACCGCACTATATGCAATGGTTAATATGGCTCCATTTCGATCGTCGTTGGCAACTGGAGTCACGTGTGGTTTTGCCAGAAGGGTGCACAGGCTCAGATACTAGGAATGCGATCCGTGGGGATCCTTCCAAAACTTCAGCCGGATTCTGGAAAAGTGACTTGAAACCGAGAATAGGCCATCATGTCTGGGGGAAAAAATGACTTTTGGGTATTTAGAATGGCTAACTTTAGGAAGTGTTTCTGACATGAAAAAATGTCTATGCCATAGAGAACACCAGCAGGTGGTCATGTTTTTTCAGTGGTGGTTCAGGCACTCTCCGAGGCCCTGAGCCACCCCTTACTTGTGGTTACACCGTTTAATCCTATCAATAATGAGACTTATCAGCAAACTGGGTTTCACCTAAATAATAATCCCCGATTGGTGAGTCTGTGCTACTAGCATAATGTTCATTCCGACGAGGATGGCATCACTCCCTGCCAGGCATCGCCTCCATGCGGTATGCACAGATACCGTCTCTGACGGTCTCCTCTCCATTCCCTGAGGAATGCTCACCTTTAGCACCCCCTGAGACAAACAGCCTCACCCAAGTCCACCCAAACTGGGAGTGTGGAAAATAAGCACCCATAATAAAAACAGCCACCACTGAACTTTATTAAAAGCATTACTTCTCAGTAGTTTTACAGGCCAGTTTCTCACACTTCAAAGTTCATCTGCATCGTAGGATGTTGTAGATCCCACTGAGAGAAGTTCTGCTTTTAAGTCTAAAATGGTAATGACAGTGAGAAAGGAACAGAAATTCTAACAGTAATTCAAAAAACACTTTAGAGAGTCTTAGTAACTGTAAGGCACTCAGCACCACGGGAGGACTGGCTCATTTCTTCTCATCTTTTCAGATTTCTGAACATGGAAGCAGCACTGTGATGATCACATCTGCTAACAGAGGCGACTGAGACCCCGGGGAGCTGCGGGACTTGTCTGACTTCACAGAGGCAGGCAGTGGGGCGCTCAGATCCATCACCAGGATGCGAAAGTCAAGCACCGCCACTCAGCCCAATTCACCTTTCATTACAAAATGAAAACAAATGGTTCCATGACAAGGACAGGCTCCTTTGTGTGAAGCAGGAACACATTTATCTCTTCACAAGCCTTATTAAAACCCACACTATACAATAGATTTCCCTTGCCCTTGGTTGAAATCTGAAGTGGGTTCCAGAGTATTTCCTGTCACTTTTTGGTGCTGAAATCCCGTGGTCACTTTCAAGCAGTGACAAGCCAGGGCAGTCCAGCACCCCTAGAAGGCATTGGTTTATAAGATGGAAATAAGGGCTTTGAAGGAAAGTCGCAAGTGACATGTGACATAAGAGCGTGGCTCGGGTGTGTATACGTTTTCTAAGAGTGTAGGATCCTGTGTGGGTTCAGAACTAGCCACCCCGCAAGCCGTGCCTCAGCGGTATGCAGGTTATTTGGAGTTAAAGGCTATTTTACCAGCAGGCTCAGGAGAACGTTCTGCCCCTCCCTTAAACTACCCAGAAGAACTCCAATGAGGGGCCCTGGCCATAATAAAAGATGATCAGCGATAACCTCTTTTTGACCCACCTATAAAGTGGGGCAAGCCTCTCTTTACTGAACATCTGCTCTTATCAGCCTGCAGTGACCCTTTGAAGACCCCAAGGGGCATCACCTCATCCCTAGCTCAGGGCGTCTCACATACCTAGATCCCCTTTTATCTCTGAACCTCTCCTGCACGTGGGCTCTGTGCTCTGAGAATCAACTCGGGATGGGCTGGAACAGTGGGATGAAGGCAACTCTTGAGTTGGAAGGACTTCATGGCTTGTGACAGCGTGCAGAGCAGCAAGATGAAAATGCCAAATACTTCAACATTGGAACATGTAAAGATAAGTGAAAAGTCCTCTCAAACAATGTTAAATGTAAAAATACACCACAAATGTCTGTGATTCAAATCAATACAGTACCTCGATGTTTCGTATTGATGTGAATCACAGACATTTGTGATAACAATATCCAAAGTCATAACCACATATTCAATGTACAAAACTTGTAATGATGGCAAAAATGGTGATAGACCATGTCTATATCTTTATTGGGAACCATTATAGTTATTCAAAGAGCAGGACATTACATATTGCCACCTTCTATTTACTTTCAAACCTACCAGCTCCTGCTACAGTGATTAACATTTATTACATCGTGGAAATACAAGTGGTTAATAATGACATCCTTACTCACTGAGGCTACCATCATATAAAAAGTATATACATCCCTGATTCCCTATTATGTCACATGTCACTTTTTACTTTCCTTCAAAGCTCTTTTTACCATCTTATTGAAACTGGAAAAGCCAGTTTCATGTTGCCTGTCACCTACCAGACCCAATAAGTAGAGACAGGGAATGAATCTTAATGGCCGCTCTATTCAGATGGCCAGTGATCTGAGAAGATGGTGGTTTTGTACCCTAAAAGGCCGTCTTACATTTCATTTCAAGCTAGCCTTTTTGTCAAAAGTGTGAGTAAGGGATTTGGAATTCAGGAAAGAGCTTAATCAGATAAAAACTGTGGTCCAGCAATTTCCCTAACCCTTTCCTGTGCTCACCATTCTCTTTGTGTCCTGTGTCCTGCGTGATTATCTTTATCTGTTCCCTGGCTGGGGACTGTCTCTCCCTGGAACACAATGGCTCAGAGACCACCGTGATTGCGTATGGTCCCTTCTGGAACACAAAGGTCAATCGCTTGCGGTCCCCTGGAGTCAGGGTGGGCCGGACCTGCAGTTCCTAAAACAATAGCTTTAATGCAGTAACTACTAGGCTTATTAATTATTACCTTAAACTAAAATTGTCCAAATCTTGAGTCCCCCCTCATTATGAAACAATGCTTTACAGTTTGTTATTCACCCCTCTATTCTCAGAAAAATATAAGTACCAGGATTCCAGGAACTTGTTTGTTTCCTGCCTTATATTCAAATCCCAGTGTCTTATTTGTGCTAAATTGAGTATGTTGACTCTAAAGTGCGTGACATCACAAGAGATGTTGTAACATTAGCATCGAGTACACTCTTTTACCAAGAAAGTCCTGATTGGACTCCTTCTCTCTTGCTAGAATTGTGTGCCCTCAAAATTTACCGAAACTTACAGGCCTCTTCTTACTAATGAGTGACTGGGGCTTCTTACAAAAGAAGTTTGGCTCCACTATGTTGCTTTTGTCTTCTAGAAAACAGGAAGGTTACCATCACACGCGTTCAATACACACAAATGTCCGGATGACTTCAGTAGGCATCACATCACGTGGCATAAGTCAAACTCCCCCAAAGTTCTGAGCAACCTGTTACGTCATGCCCACTGTCATGTGCACTTTGTGGTCACTGTTGCTGTTGGAATTCGTTACTCTGTTGACTACAGGTATGATTTGCAGGTCCCTGGCAAGAAGGCACTGAAAAACCATGATTGAGATTTCTGTTTATTAAGAATCAGTGAAACTGTCATGACAAAAATTATAACTATAAAAAAGAGTAAAATATGCCTGGGGAAAAATTACCTGAATTTGACTGCACATGATAAAATTGGCCCAAAGTACAATTGCTAAATGAAGAGAACCGTGGTTTATCTAGATATCCGTAAGGGGACATCTTCATGTGTCCTCCCAGGACATGGAAAGCAATTATTTGCTCGCATACAACAGCTTAGAACATAGGTAATAAAATATTTCTGTGAAACAACTACAGAAGCATTATTCTGACCCCCAAATGCACACACTTTTAATCACATGCAACTGAACACAACTGGAAACACACTGAGGGATGACATTCAGCTCCAAGAGACAGGAAACACCCACCGCTTCCCGACGGGAGGGAGGTGCCGATCGTCACACGGAAGGGCCCGGTCAGGGCAGCCGCTGCACACGTAGCAGAGGTGGCAACATTAAATGCCATGGCGAATCAGGAAAGCATGCCTGATAGCACTGTTGACAGCGTAAGGCATCTCCTATACGAATTAGGTCTTATACGGACATAAGCTAGAGAAGAGGGGAACCAGACAAGAGCATGAAGTCTGAATCCGTTTCCTGGAGGACACAAATGAGCTTACAGAAAAATCCGAACTCTGATGGATCTTTGATGTGGACCTTGAGAAAATGGCAGTGGAAACCTGCACCTCCAGGAAAGTGTCCGTTGACTATTTCGTGGTGCTTATGCGGGTAGTCTTGATTGGAAGGGCAAAGAACCTGGAAATTGGGGTGAAAGATTCAGTACTCAAAGGTCTTATACATCTGTCTTTCTCTGTGTGGTGGTTTCAGAACCTGACTAATGTGCTTGCTCCCTTCCAATCCCATGCAAACGAGGCTACTTGTAAACTCTAAGATCGAACCATAAAGGCGATAGATTCTAAAAACGTAAGTCCTAACATTTCTCATGGGTAGTTTTTTTCTTTTTGTCCTTTTACAGGTCTCTCTTCCTCTCCTTTTTTTCTAAAGAGGTCTCTGTCTCCTTAAATCAGTCTAGTTGCCAAATACGAGTCAGAATGAAAAACAATAATCCAAGGCCCAAATATAAAAATATTCACTCACATGAAACAATAGTCTTTCATGAAATGACATATATAAAATTTATTCTGAGCACTTATTGTTACGGAAAAAGGCTTTCATACCTGTTACCCCAGAAAGGAGTTTCGTCAGTAAACAAGGCAGAATACAATGATACATAAGTAAGGGACTAGGATATGCAGGAGCTGTCACACAGCCAGTAGGAAAATCTCAACAAATACCAAACTGGCATTTTACAATGACCCCTTCACAGAGGACAAGTAAAACAGATAAAATAGGATAAAAAATTTAACCTAATTGTACATTAGAAATATATTTCAGTTCATCCAGGGATGTAACAGGCTTGAAGATAGAAAGAAAACATTAGCTCATTAAAGGAAAATACTGTATAGTAATCTTATGGACTACTGTTGCAAGACAACTTCCAGAGTTATTTCACCTTAATTTATATTTTTTTAATTTTTAAAAAATATTTTATTTATTTGTAGACAGAGGGGGAGAGAGAGGACAGAGAAACATCAGTGTGTGGTTGCCTCTCCAGTTCCGCATACTGGGGACCTGGCCCACAACCCAGGCATGTGCTCTGACTGGGAATTGAACCAGCTGCCTGTTGGTTCACACTAGCCAGGGCTCAATACACTGAGCTACACAAGCCAGGGCTCACCTCAGTATTTTTTTTCTTAATTAGAAATCTACATTGCAATGATGCACTTTACAAAACAAGCTTGATAAACACTATGTATATACAACCTGAATACTTTCATGTGGAAAGTTTGCAACATTATACATGGATTAATTTCCATCAAGCTTTTTCATGTCACATTTACTTTTCTCTCTTTTCCCTGAGATTTTTCACATGTAAGGATATGTGCACATTGAAGCCCTTCCAATATTGTTTATGCTCAAAAGTTTATCCAGTGGCTCCTTTCATGCCTTTGGAAGGAACTGGAATGACTAAAGGCTTTCCTACATTTAGATATAGTATATCTGAAAATGTCCCACATCTCCTTTTATGCTAAATTAGGATTATTATGCAAAATGATACCCTCTCCCTACAGGTCACCTCGTACAACCAAATTAATACTTAGATGACTGCCTTTACATAGTCACACCTCTTTTTGATGTTTCCACTGGGGAAAAACATTGGACTTGTAAAGATACCTCTCTGCTCCTAGAATAAAATCAGGATGGGCCAGTATAGTGCACATTCACTGTGTTCAGTAACTTGTGTGTAAAATGAAGGTTTTCCCACATTTCTTACATTTATAGAGTTTATCCCTCCACTGTGATTTCTTTTGTGTCTTTGGAAAACTTGTAAAGAAAGGAAAGCTTTACCTCATTGCTAACATTCATGGGGTTTCCTTCACGTGTGAGTCCTTTCATGTTTTCGAAGATAATTAAGACAACTAAACCCTTTTCCACATGTTTTACATTCATAGGGTTTCTCTCCAGTGTGAGTTCTTTCATGCGTTTTTAAGGAAGTATGATCAGTATAACTTTTATCACATTGCTTACATTCATAGGGTTTCTCTCCTGTGTGAGTCCTTTTGTGTTTTCGAAGATAATCGGGACAACTAAACTCTTTTCCACATGTTTTACATTTGTAGGGTTTCTCTCCAGTGTGAGTTCTTTCATGTGTTTTTAAGGAAATGTGATTTTTGTATCTTTTTCCACATTCCTTACATTCATAGGGTTTCTCTCCTGTGTAAATCCATTCGTATGATTCTAAGGTAGTGTAATATCTGGCTTTATTACATCCTCTATATTCATAAGGTTTTTCTTCAGTGTGACTTCTTTCATGTTTCCGAAGGTAACTGGGACTACTGAATGCTTTACTACATGTTTTACATTCATAGGGTCTTTCTCCGGTGTGACTCCTCTCATGTGCTTTTAAAGAAGTGTAATCGCTGTAACCTTTCCCACATTCCTTACATTCATAGGGCTTCTCTCCTGTGTGAGTCCTTGTATGTCTTCGAAGATAACTAAGACAACTGAATTCTTTTCCACATGTTTTACATTTATAGGGTTTCTCTCCAGTGTGACTTCTTTCGTGTGTTTGTAAAGAATTGTAATACCTAAAGGCTGTTCCACATTTCTTACATTCATAGGGTTTCTCTCCTGTGTGAGTTCTTTTGTGTGTTTTCAAGGCAGTAGGGCCACTGTAAGCTTTACCACATCCTTCACATTCATAGAGTTTCTCTCCTGTGTGACTCACTTTGTGTGCTTTTAAGGAGTCGTAGTATTTGAAGGCTTTGCCACATTGCTTACATTCATAGGGTTTCCTTCCCGTATGCATCCTTTCATGTTTTTGAAGATATTTGAGACAAGTGAATGCTTTTCCACATGCTTTACATTTATAGGGTTTCTCTCCAGAATGACTTCTTTCATGTGTTTGTAAAGAACTGCGATGTCTGTAGGCTTTGCCGCATTGTTTACATTCATAGAGTTTCTTTTCAGTGTGACTCCTTTCACATATTTTAAATGAACTGGGAGAAATGGATGCTTTCTCATTTTCCTTGCATTTATGAGGTCCATCTCCAGGGTGAGTGATCACATGTGCTGGAAGGATTGAGAGATCACTAAATGCTATCCCACGTGTCTTATACTTAAAAAATTTTTCTCTGGTTTCATCCACTTGAACATAACTGGAACTGAAGGCTTCATCACATATGTTATGTTCATAAGGTTTCTCTCCATTGTGATTTTCTTCATGTTTTTCAGTACACTGCAGACAACAGTTGAATGGCTTCCCTCCATATGGCTTGTGTCCAGTGTGACATCTGATGTTCCCATGATGAGACGACTGCTGTGTGAAGACTTTCCCATACACGCTGTATTCACGTGGTTTTCTTCCAAGAGCTTTCTTGTTCATATTGAGATTTGGAATAAGGCTGAAGTTGTCTTCACACTGACTACCCTTTTTCCCATCACAGATTCTCTCTACCACATGACTCCTGGGAAAAAAAAGAAGCATGTTATTTGTGATTTATTTATGATTTTATATTTATTAGAATATTTGAACTAAATTTCTATGATTTACAGTAAAAAAAGGCAGGTTTTCTGCCTTGTCTGAATGGCTTGAAGTGGAATATACTGAATACTCTGCAAGAGAACTTTAGCCTTGCTATTATCAAAACAGTGGTATTCATACATAGGGTTTATTAACACTGTTTTTCATTAGAACTTGTTTTCAAACACCAAATGCCTTTGTCGTATATAAAAAGGTAATTTGGTGGAAATTTTCTGAGTAGCTGGAGCACAACAGGTTTCTCATGTTAGATGCTGCTTTCTATTGTGAGTGTGACTCACCTGAGTTTTCTCCCCTGGTGTCTGTACTGATCTTCAATGTCATGATCTTTCCATTTCTTTCCTAAAATACAGACCCAGAAAATTTTTTCCAAAGTAGTAGAAATTATAGAATAGTTATCAGTTTATAGTTCTATGATGAGCTGTGACCATGCTCAATTTATTTACCAATATCCTCACTTCCCATATTACACACATTAGAATTTTAATGGGCAAGAAACACCTGTCCCCTAATTAACAAGGTAAAAATGAGTCGTCATGCTTACCTATGGAGGCCAGGTTCCTGAAAGTGTCCCACATCACATCTCTGTAGAGCTGCTTCTGTGCAGGATTCAGTAAGGCCCACTCTTCCAGGCTGAAGTTTACAGCCACATCCTCAAAGGCCACCAAGTCCTGAAAACAGTCCGGATATGTGCAGAGCAGAATGTGTGAGACTCGCACTCGCAGCACTGGGCCCCTAGACCCCGTTTACAGAAAGCCCGCATATGATTCTGTTGTCTCCAAATATTTATCCAATGACTTCATTAAATAAAACTTACTTTCTGTTCACATTTACTTCCTTATAAATTTAACCTCATCAAAACACATGAAAATTAATACATTTTTAAGCGATCACATTGCATCTTATTTTTCTCTATGGCAGGGTTCAGAGCATGATGGGAAATGACAAATGTTATTCAAATAAAACAAATATTATCATTTTAAGACTTTCACCCCTGAGGGCTTCTGGTCAAGATGGTGAGGTAGGTAAATGCTGTACTTGCATCCTCCCACAATCACATCAAAATTACCACTATTCAGCAGAACAACCATCATTGGGATCCACCTGCAATCTGCTGAACAGAAGTCCTATGACTAAAGATATAAAAAATGAGCCACATCGAGACTGGTACAGGGTGGGAATGCGCAATGAGCTGTTCCCATACCCACCTGTGGTGGTTAAAAATCAGGAGGGCTATCTCAGCTGCAGAAGTCCCCACTGAGGAGAGAGGGCTGATTGTGAAAGCCAATAGGATTGTGGCTGAGGAAGACATAGGGCTCCTGGAGTCCCAGGCGCTCCTCTTAAAGGGCCCATGCATAGAGTTACTCAACTTCATTTGCTCTGAGCTCCAGTTGTTGGGGCAGCAGCTCAAAATGCAACAGGGACATACGGGGAGGCAATGAATTGTCCGGATTTGAGGTATGCTGGCGGGGCAGCTTTCTTCAAGACAGAAGTGCTGGCAGATGCTTTTGTTCCTTTGCTGACAATTGCCCCCATAGAGCCTGCAGTTGGCCATTCCTGGGTCTCCATCAACCTGGCTAACACTGTGGGCCCACCCTGGTGATTCCCTGAGACCTCGTCCCACCCAGCTGTTTAAGAAGTGACCACTAGAGGGGCCCACCTCTTGCACAGGGCTGTGGTCTCAATTTCCCATCTTTACCACTAGGGTATGTCAGGGCCAACCCAGGTTCTGCCACAGCTTCACTCTAACACACAGACAAATCCCTGCAAAACACTGACCCAGGACCACTTTACGGAGGGTCCCGATCCCACATTCCTTCTCCTGAATACCTAGAAATTCTCAAAACTGCCCAATCTGTCAGCTGCACACAGCACTGAGGTGTGGCAGGCACAGCAATACCACCCGGGGCAGCTCCCCAGTCCCCAGCAGCCACAGTGCAGGCCACTATCAGGCAGTGGAGCAGATGAGCAAGTCAGAGCAAGAGAAGACAGTCCAGGGGTGTGCCCAAGTCAGGACACGCTGCTCGTGGAACCAACTGTCACAGTCACCTGTTGAGGGATAATCTAACACTGAGACTGACACTGGTGTGGCTGAGAGGGTAGGAAAAGGCTTAGATCTCATGTAACAGAGGTCTCTGAGAGGGTGGGGCAAGCTACTCAAGCAGCTCTGAAATGTCTTGAGAGAGTTAAAAAAAAAAATGGCCTGGGTTTTTATTGTGGTAACTTGGTATTACAGAAAAAAAATACTCAGTGATGCTTGTCAAAAATGGTAAGGCAGATTTTCTTCAGAACCACTGCGACAGGTATAGAGACCACTGTGGTGGGCTTTTACACTGGAGAAAAACGAGCTTGGCCTCCACTCCGAGAACAGCATAGGCAAGTGGGACTTCACGGCCGGAGAGCAGGGTAGGGGTCAGTGAATGGGAAAGTACTTAGAGAAGAATCAGATGTTAGGGGGTTCTCGCTAAACAGACCAAACAGGGTTCTTACTGCAGACAGGCCAGGGCAATCCAACACCACCTGGTGGGGGACGAGGAGCAACCTGCTCAGATATGGAGGGCGGTCAGATACAAGGGTGGAGGATTCCGGATCATCCAACCGGGTTTTGCAAGGAAGGGCAAAGCTAGGCCTGGGAGAAGGTTCAGGACCCTGTCACAGTTCGGTCAAGCAAAGGATCCTGGTCAGGGGCGGGGCCAGGGCAAGAGTTCTGCTCACAGACGGGCTTGTGTGATTGGAATCCGCAGCCAGTGCCGGAGGAGGGAGCCCCGGACCTTCTCATCAGCCTGTCCAGGTGCGGACACAGGGAAGGGGGAGGGGTGGCCTAAGCTGCCAGCAAACACCAAACAGTGGGAGTCTGGCTGCTCAACACAAGGACAAATATGGGTAAAAAAATAGGCATTTGCAATGGCTTGTTTTTGTGTAAGTAAACACCAAGAGAAGGCTCCAGAAATAATAAAAACTGTATTTGGGGGTGGCTGGAGTAACATTACTGGAGGGACCAGGATCGGTGGGCAGTGGGTCTTCTTAAGTTAGACTTTTCTATCTTACAGGTTTATTTAAAATAAACAGAAGTTTATATACACCTCGTTTTACTGTCTACTAACCCATCCTTAAATTTAACTTTTTTTAACATAGGAAACCATTCTAAGATTTAATTCCTTTAAACAATAATGGTTACGAAAGTATAAACCATACAAAATTAAAATTTACAAATCTCTTGTTAACTAAAAGCACACGTTACAGTCATCCTCCTTTGCCCCTCCCCTGTTTCTCACATGGAGGTATTTTCAGGAATGAACAGCATATTATGATGCGATGGCTTTTTGGGTTTACCTGTTTATATACAGCAGGATTTTCAAAGGTTTACATAAGCGTTAAGTAATTTGCTTCATGGCACTTAAAATAGAAATTCAATTTCTTGTGCCTTTTATATTGCGGTGTTCTCCAGGAATACCCAGGCACAAACACTGAGGTACAAATGAAAAATTGACCTGAGAGTTTAAATACTCATCTCATATCTTCAGGTTCTCTTGCCGAAAAGAAACAAAATTCTGTTTAGTTTCAGTATGTACTTGTCTTGCCAACATCCTTCTCTTAATCCATGTTCATTTTTGAGCACCAGAAATTAAAAACGTTATTTCTCACACAGGGAATAAAAGTACAAAGTTCTCAGGGAACTAGAACCAAAGAGCCGCACTATTCAGTGGATAAAGAATCCAAAGGAAAGTAACACAGTATTGGAATCAGCTCAGATGAGCAGCCCGCTTCCCACAGGACAGAAGGAAAGCCCCTTTCAGAAGGTTTCGCATTCTAGACCCTCCAGGTTGAGACAGGACCCCTGCAGTGGGACAGTCCCTGGGGACAAAGGGGGAGGGACCCCTGAGCAGCCTCAGGAGTGAACTCTGGGAGCTCCGACATCCTCCTCTCCCCTCCCCAGGGAATAATGGACACGCTCCCTCTCTCAGGTTTCACCTCACAGTGAGGAAAAGCTCACCTGGATTCAGTCTAAGGTTCTGAGCCAAATGAACTCCAAATTCACAGGCCCTAACCCAGGACACAGGCTCCTGACTTTCTCAATGCCCGCGAATTACAGAGAGCACCTGCCCTGTGGCTGCAAAACTCCAACCTAGGCCTGGAAACAGTCCTCGGGGAACCACAACTAAAACCTCAGGAGTGTTCCCTCCCTTCCCCCCACCTGCACCTGCATCCCAGGTTCTCTCAGTGGACAGGCTCCTTCCAGGCGGGTGTGAGCAGGAAGGACCCCTAGAGGGGAGGCTCTACAGGAAGAACCGGGCCTTCTTGAAGTACTTCCCTCGGCAGGCTTAGGGGGCTGGAGCTGTCACTTGACCTCAGGCCTCTGCTCTCAATCACGCTGCTTTGGACAACGTGGATATTTTAATTGATATAAAGCCCAATATTTGAAGAATCCTGCAAATTCATACAACCCCAATGTTTATGTGTAAAAGTAAGAAGAAAACTGTAAGCCATATTTCCAGTTCAACAAGAAAATCCACAAATATTTACTACTTTCAGAAAATACTATTATTTCCACGACAAGAAAACAGTTTTTAAACAGTTAAGCATTCTACACCACTTCTGATGTTTAAGTCTAAGCCTTGGAATTCCACTTGAAATCACCCCCAAAACTCCCAAACAAAAAGATGAAGACTTTAGAATACTACTACTCCTGCTCAGAGGAGAAAAATGAGAAACAATAAATTTAAACACATTCGATGTAATACTGGGACATTTTGGGTTTTCTTTTTTTCTCCTGAAATTTACCTCATGCCTCTTTGAAAATACTATTTTATATCACCTTTCAAGAGCTATTGATTAAATACATTTTACATTTACTGAAAAACCGAGACCAAAAACAAGGTCAGTCAGCCTTTTTAAGGTGACAGACCCAGGGAGGGGCAGTGCTGGCAGGAGAGGTCACCCAGGAAAGTTTCCCAAGAGGAGCCTCCCGGCGAAGGACTTCCCAGAGGATGTGTGAGTCCAGGAAAGGTCCTGGGGGAGAGGAAGGAGGATTTCACACAGCGTATTCCAGGTGGTTATCGTCTCAGCTTCACTCTCATGTAAAACAACTAGACACAAAAATTAAATCTAGAAAGTGAGCCATGTGGAGAAATGATAATCCAAATGCATCTGTTGGAAATGCACGCTGGATTCTGTAAATCGGAGACCAAAGGAGGCACCTGAGGAGGCGGACAGAAACATGAACACTTACGGATTTATTGCCGGCCCCTTCCAGGGGCTAGGCTGGAGGGAAAGGGTCGTGGATTTGAGACCCCGCTTCCCAAACATTTCGAAAACTTCAGGAGAAGAAAGAAAAGACCGAGGACCACCGACCACAGGTCCTCCCATGCATGAAACCCCGGAGATCGAGTCACAATTATCCCGGAGGACCGTCGCCGTGATCACCGAACATTCTGGGGAGTCGCGGGGCTGCTTCCCAGGCAGGGTCCGGGGCCGAAGTCGCCGCGCAGTGAGCGGACGGGACGTGAGGTTCCCGGCTGCCAGCCCAGCCCTCATTAACGAGAGCCAGTGGGGACTGAGACCCCAGCAGAACCCCCGCCGAACTCGGGTCGGCAGACTCCCAGCTGGACGGCGTGGCAGCCGGGTCTCTCCACTGCTTGTTGCAACCAGCCCCTCCTCCCGTTTGAGGACATCCGGCCGCTCACACTCACCCTTTCTGGGCTTCTCCGGTCCCCTAGCATTTTCCCCACCGTTCCCAGGGCCAGTACAGGTCACGCCGGTACAGAGACACTTCAGACGTTTAAGCACAGAAGTGACGCAATCGCGGCCAGGTGTCTCCAAGCAGTTTGCTGACTGTGGTCCCACCCACCTACTCTGCTGTGACCCTGATTGGACAGTTTTGCCTTCCTTAATCCTGAGTGACAGTGGGGGGGTACAGGTCAGTGGCTCAGCAAAACCACCTTCTCTATTCGGTGGCGGGACCTGTCCCGTCCAAAGTCGTTTACTTTTTAAATTTATTTTTTTATTGTATTTTTTCCATTACCATTCCCCCTCCCCCCATGCCCTCTTCCACCTCCCGCACCCCGCAGTCACCACACTTGTCCCTGTCCATGAGTTCTCTTTCTTTTATTTTGTGCTGGATCCCTCCACCCTTCAAGGCCCCGCAGAGTTGTCTGCATGCTCTATGAGTCTGTCTCTATTTACATGTTAATTCAGCTTGTTCATTATATTCCACGAGTGAAATCATATGGTAACTGTCTTCCTCTGTCTGCAAAGCTGCTTACTTTTATCAACACTTTGTCCTGGTCCTAGAGGGACACTGGCATCTTTCTGCTTCTCTTTGTGAATGTGGGGACACAGGTGTGCGAAGGGAATATCAGATTCAATTTCCAGATAGAAAGACCCCCTTGTCCTGAGCAAGAAGAGCCCATCCAGGCCAGGCCAGACTGGGACCAGGGTGTCTGATATAATTCTGGGTTAGGGATTGGGATAAGATGCAAGGCCATTCATCAAACTGTCAACCTTGTTTTAAACCCATTTAGAAATGACCTCACCAGGTCATTATGTATTATCTGGTGTATTATACTGATACACCAAGGTTGCAGCTTCCCTCCCCAGTCAGGGCACATACAATTTATGTAATTTATGATTACATAAATAAGTGGAACAAAAAAATCAATGTTTTTCTCTCTCCTCTCCTCCTTCCTCTCTCTCTGTAAAATCAATAAAACATATCCTTGGATGAGGATTTAAAAAAGAAATGTGAAGCATATTATTTTTAATTTCTTTATTAGTGATTTTATATTAATTAGAGTATTTGAACTACATTTTATGTTTTATAGCAAAGTGTAGGTTTTCTGTCTTATCCAAACTGAATGCACTGCAAGACTTCACCCTTTCTGTTACCAAAACAGTGATACTCATTGCAGGGTATAATAATAGTGTTTCCATATGAACTATTTTATAAACACTGAACATACATGTGTTGTTTTTTTTAAAGATTTATTTATTTATTTTTAGAGAAGGAAGGGAGAAAGAAAGGGAGAGAAACATCGGCGTGTTGTTGCCTCTCACACACCCCCTCCTGGGGACCTGGCCCACAACCCAGTCGTGGGTCCTACCTGGGAACTGAACCTGCAACCCTTCAGTTCACGAACCAGCACTCAATCCACTGCGCCACAGCAGCCAGGGCTGAACATATATGTCTTATATGAGAGTAATTTGATGAAACTTTTCTCAGAAGTAATACATTTGAAGCATGTATTGTTTTGATTGCTTATTTAAAAAATTTTGTTGCACATCAGGTTTCTCACGTGAGACAATGCTTTCTATTGTGAGTGTGACTCACTTTATTTTTTTCCACTTATTTTTGAACTGATCTCCAATATCATGATTTTCCCATTATTTACCTAAAATGCCAACCCAGAACAATGATTTCAAAATTTTAGAAATTCTGGAAATATCATTAGTTTCTAGTTCTATGATGAGCTGTGACTATGCCCAGTTTATTTACCAATGTCCTCTTTTCCTATATTACACACGTTAGAACAACTCTGATGGGTAAGAAACACTGACTTCTAATTAACAAGGAGAAGATTTGTTGTCATCCTTACCTATTAAGGCCAGATTCCTGAAGGTTTCCCATATCACACTTCTGTAGAGTTTCTTCTGTGGAGGATCTAATATAGCCCACTCTTCCATGGTAAAGTTCACAGCCACATCCTCAAAGGCCACCAAGTCCTAAAAACCCCAAATATGTGATTTGTAAGACTGACAGCACTGGACATCTATCTATACTCAATTTACATGAAGGTTACATATGATTTCTCTATTTCCAAATATCTATTCTATAATCATCAGAAATTTACTCCCCTTCCACACTCTTTATAAATGTAGCAACATCATAAACACATGGAAATTATCAACAAATTTTTACTATGATAACATTCCATTCTATTTTACTATTGTAGGGTTCAGAACATGTTGGAAAATAACAAACAGAAAAGTGGACAAAAAAGTTGTGGTGTGTATATATGATGGAATATTACTCGGCCATAAAAAAAAGGAATGAAACCTTACCCTTTGTGACTGTATGAATGGACCGAGAGGGTACTACGCTAAGTGAAATAAGTCAGACAGAGAAAGAGAAATGCCATACATTTCACTTATATCTGGAATCTAAAGAGGAAAGCACACAAACAAAATAGAAACAAAACCATAGATGCAGAAAACAGACTGATGGTTGCCAGAAATGATGGGGGCGAGGGGGCTGGGTGAAAAAGGTGAAGTACAAATTAATAGTTACAAAATAGTCATGAAGATGTAAAGTGGAGCATAGGCAATATAGTCAAGGATATTGTAATAACTAAGTATACATATTGAGGGAGCACTTGGGAAAGCATATGACTGTCTAACCACTATGTTGTATACCTGAAACTAATACAAAATAACATTAAATGTAAATTGTAATTAAAAATTAAAGTTTAATTCAAAAAGAAAGTACCAATATTGCTATTAAAATGAATTAAATATTATTTATTTAAAAAGCATCAATTCCTTTGGAAAAAATTCTTTCATCTTATTATGCACCATTTACAGCACTTCATTAAACAGGCGGTAACATCTGTATGAGGTGTCCATGACTGAAAAGTGAAAAACTAGAAGTTCTTTCTTCTGTTCCCATCCCCAGAACCAAACAGTGCATGAGGTCTGTGGAAAGCCAACTTTTATGAAAGTTTAGCCAGTCATATTGTCCTAAATTCCTCTAGACCAGTAGAAGTACAGACATACCACATTTTATTGACCTTCGCTTTATTGTGCTTGGCAGGTAATGTGTTTTTATCAACACGGATACAAGAGTCCCCACCAGCAACAAGGTTATGACTCACTGAAGGCTCAGAAAATACATATACACTAATCTTTTAGACATAATATTTCACACTTAACAAGCTGCAGCACAGTGTAAGCAGAACTTGTTTATATGCCAGGAAACTGGAAAATTCTTCTCACTTTCTTTATTGAGACATTCACTTTATTCGATGTCTGGAACCAAACCTGCAATCTCTGAAGTATGCCTATAATCAGAGGCAGCCAACTGAATAAAAATATTTTTCTGGGGAAGCTCTGCTTTTTAATTTGACTAACATTTGTCACAGACTCAATTTTTCCTTTCTCTCTCTGTCTGATTATGGTCTAGAAAATCATTTGGAATTTATAGCTTAGGCACAAGGATAAAGGGATGACCACTTAGACCACAATATTGCTAAACTCATGCATTTCTCAGGGCTGCTTCCAGCCAATTTTGGTACACATAAGCATGCACACTGAGATGATAATATGCAGAAGTGCTCTTTCCAGCAACACCATAATAGTCTAAAAGGCAGCCTGATCTGAAGGTCCCAGCTGATGTGCACCACCCAGCCACAGGGATTCAGCTGACAAAAACCAGATGGCCAAGTCAAGGATGCTGACAATGAAGATCCACATCAAGGTCTAAGCATCCTACACATTCTGCACATCCTACATTTTTTGCACGTCCACAGTTTTTTCTCCCCCTCTTATTAGCTCTATAAAATTTGCTAACTTGGCCCTAGCTGGTGTGGCTCAGTGGATTGAGAGCTGGCCTGCAAACCAAAGGGTCCTCGATTCAATTCCCAGTCAGGACCCATGCCTGGGTTGTGAGCCAGGTCCCCAATTGAGGATGCACGAGAGGCAACCACACATTGATGTTTCTCTCCCTTTATTTCTCCCTCCCTTCCTCTCTTTCTAAAAATAAATAAAATCTTAAAAAAAATTGCTAGCTTGACCAGAACTGTTAAGATGGTCCTTGGGGTGAGAGGCGCCCATCTTTTTGGGTCACTGGCACCTGAATAGAACTCTTTCCTTTTCCACCAGCACCTGTCTCACAAGTTTGGCTTTTGTTGTGGTAGGCAGCTGAACCTAGGTTTGGTTATGATACTGGGATCTCCACATTTTGATCTTATCCTCATAAAAATTCCCTACTCTGAGCATGTGTCTGTCATGCAAGACACAGTTTGAGATTACCTTTTGTTTGATCATAGCCCTTTTGTGGGCAGAATTAACACCCTACCCAAAGTACAATCTGATGGGAAGGCTGATGTAAACACATGCATCAAGTTACAGGAAAAGAGTGTTTATAAATCAGAAGTATTTTCTAAGGAGAATTAGGCAAGGGTCAGTTGCTCTGGGTAGCTTGTGCAGAAAAGAATGGGTTGGCCTTTTAATGTGTGTAGAGACAGAGGTTGCAGGTTTCAAGGTTTGATTCTCCTATCTGCTGACACTAAAAGAAAGGGGGTACATGTCAACCTTCATTTGTTCACCCATGTGGGCCACACAGCGTGAGCAGGTATCTGAAGCCAATTAGAAGTCAAATATTTAAAATGAAGTCAGTGTCTTTATTAACATTCATTCCTGAGGTTTTTTTGAGTGAATGATGCCAAATCTTATTTACATTGAATAAAATTTGAATCTTAAGTAAAGTCATGTGGAAAGCACAGCAATATATTATAAATAAGACAAATCCTCAAAAAACTGCTCCAATGTAGCCATCCCAGGTGTTGGAGCGACCCAGGAAAGTGTCAGTATGGTTCCAAAATCTGTTCAAATATTTTGGTAATGTTATTGTTTAATACGGTATCTCATTCATTGTTATGGGTGAAACCTTGCCAGTGTATCCTATCCACATGCATTAAGCAATCCTTTTAGGGGGACAGAACTCTCCCTGGCTGGTAAGTAGTCCTAAGCCAAGTGGTCATCAGCTACCATGACTG